TGGGTGGTCATCCACCTATTTGAGAAGGTGAACGTGTCAGAATCATTCTTTTGCCGCTTATGATGTGTACGTTCTAAGGATATCACAGGAGACATAGTTACTAACTATGAGAGGACGATCCATGGTACTTTTTCCTGCAACTTTCTCTTCAAAACAGATGTCAGGAATTTTGTCTGTTATGGAGATCTAGAAACAAGCAAGTGAATGAATTCACCAAACACATATTGAGTGTCTGTTGTGTTCTAGCTCCCACGTCGGGGGTTGTGCCGGGCACTGGAGGTACAGGGAGAGGTCAGACGGTGCTCATGCCTTCAGATTGCGTACCGGCTGGTGGAGGAGACAGACAAATTCACCTGTAATTGCAGCACAGCATGAGCACTGGGCTGACAGTGGGCCGGGGTGGTGATGGCTGAGCTGTCTTGAAGGGTCGATAGGTAAGAGGTAGCCAGGTAAGAGAGGTGTGGTGTGTGTTAGGGACACGGCAGGGATGCCTAAGGTTGAGGCACGCCTGCAGAGAACAGCGGTGTGTGCCAGGGTCCACGGGCGAAAGCAAGCCCGGTGTCTGTGGGAAACGGGCTCATCAAAAGAGCTGCAGTGTGAACATGAGGAACAACAGGCAGAGGCTGGTTCGTGTTCTGAGACGAAGTCAGGAAAAGTCATTGAAAAGAGGCATGTAGGGGACAAGGGCAACTTTCTGAAGAGCAGGTTGGTCTTGGGCCAGCCATGGCTTGGAAACCGTTTCTTCACTGGAGCCTCAAATCTAGCACGGTAGTCCACAGTGAGTGGGCTGAGACGGGGTTTCGTGAAACCAGCTCTCAGTGACCCAGCCTCTGGGATGGGCCGCATAGGGAGCAGCTGCCCGGGCAGCGCGTGTGCAGCTCCCCAGGAGGTTATGGAAGACACTGCGTCTGTGAGTTCTGTGCAAGGCAGGCCGGAGGATCTGAAGGCCACGATTCAGTCCTTCCTCCCCAGGACCTCCTGCTTTTGTTTCCATGTCGTCTCACTGGCCAGTCTTGTCTTATCACATCTGATTTTGAATCATAGCTAGAAAATGTTTTCCCACACCAAAGTTATAGAAGAATTCACCTACCATTTCTTCAAGGACTTGAATGGTTTTGTTTTTTATATTCTGATTCTCAAGTATCTTGGGAGTTTTTTCTGGTGTATGATGTGAGGTAAGTATTCAATTTTATCTTTTTTTGCCCCCCCAAATGGTTACCACTTGTCCTAACTCCAACTATTAAGAGGTCCCTCTTTTCCCCATTGGTTTGAGACACTGTCTTTATCATATGCTCTACGGGCGTACTTCAGAGATATTGCAGGTTTGGTTCCAGACCACTGCAATAAAGTGAATATTACAATAAAGTGAATATTGCGATAAAGTGAATCACATGAATTTTTTGGTTTCCCAGTGCATATAAAAGTTATGCTTACCGTGTACTGTAGTCTGTTAAGTGTGCCATAGTATTGTGTCTAAAAAGATAATGTACATACCTTAATTAAACAATACTTTATTACTAAAAAATGCTAACCGTCGCCTGAGCCTTCAGCGAGTCGTCATCATTTTGCTGGTGGAGGGTCTTGTAAAAAAAACTCAGTATCTGCGAAGTACAATAAAAGGAGCCGTGCCTGTATATCTCTGTGTGTTTGGGTCTGTTTCTGGACTTTCTGTTCTGTTTTATTGATCTGACTGGGAATTTATGTGCCACTATCACACCTTTTTAATGACAGAGCCTTTATGTTATGTTTTAGTAGAGGGTGGGGCTAGTCCCTCTTCATTGTTCTCAGATATCCTGCATGCTCGTTGCTATATGTATTGGGCTTGTGTTAAGTTTGTTTAACTTGGAGAGAATTGATATCTTTTTGATATTAAGTTGTCCTATCCAAAGGCAAGGGACACTTTTCCATTTGTTCAAATCTGCTTCTTTGTCTTTCAGGAGTGTTTTATGTTTTCCTTATGTACTTTTTGCTATTTCTTGCTAAATTATTTTAAGTATTTTACTTTTTTCTTGCTTTTTAAAATGGATTCCTCTCTTCCATTATATCTTCTAGCTGTTTACTGTTTGGTATACAATTAATATGCAAAAAGCAATTGATAGTTTTTATGTATTTTTTGGTACTTTATTCAAATTTTTATTATTCTTAGTAGTTTTATCAGTGATTCTCTTGGGTTTTCTAGGTATACTTTCACATCAGCTGCAAATAGAGATAATTTTACTGTTTTCTTTTCCATTCTTAAGTTTCTAATTGTTTTCTCTTTTCTAATTGCGTTGGCTAATACTTCCAATGTAGTGTTAAAAGTACTGGAGGAAAACACACTGACAGAGAGAACTGTTTGGTGGTTACCAGGGGCAAGGGGGTGGGGGGTGGGCACAAGGGGTGAAGGGATGCATTTATATGGTGAATGACAAGCAATAATATACAACAAAAAGTTCACAATAAAGAAAAAAAATAAGGGGTCGGCCCCGTGGCTTAGCGGTTAAGTGCGTGCGCTCTACTGCTGGCGACCCGGGTTCGGATCCCGGGTGCGCACCGACACACCGCTTCTCCGGCCATGCTGAGGCTGCGTCCCACATACAGAAACTAGAAGGATGTGCACCTATGACACACAACTGTCTACTGGGGCTTTGGGGGAAAAAGTGAATAAATAAATAAAAAAAAAAAAAAAAGAAAAAAAATAAGTAGTGGAGGAAATGGGCCTCCTTGACTTGTTTCCGGCCTTACTGGGAATGCCTCAAGTGTTTCCTCGTTAGATAAGACGCCGTTTTTGTTTTTGTTTTATGTTAGTGTCTTGGTCTCTCCAGGCTGCTATAACAGAATACTACAGACTGGGTGGCTTACGAATAACAGAAGTTTATTTCTCACAGTTCTGGAGGCTGGAAGTCCAAGATCAGGGTGCCAGCATGGTGGGTTCCAGTGACGAGGGCCCTCTTCTTGGTTGTGGACTGCCAACTTTTCATTGTACAGTAGTGCCTCCTTATCTGCGGGGGATATGTTCCAAGACCCCCAGTGATGCCTGAAACGGCAGATAGTACTGAACTCTATATAGACTATGTTTTTTCCTATACATACATACCTATGATAAAGTTTATTTATAAATTAGGCACAGTTAAGAGACAATAACTAATAAGAAAATAGCAGAATTATAACAATATGCTGTAATAAAAGTTACTGTAGATCTTAGCAACCTCAGCCTATGATTTTTTTTGCTTTCCTTATTTCACCTTTCCTTTCTTTCCTTACTTTTACTTTTTCACTTAAAGGAAGCATTTTACAGCTCCTCTTTGGCATATGCGAACTGCCAGTATCACTACTCTTGTGCTTTGCGGCGTTATTAAGTAAAATAAGAGTGGCTTGAACACAAGCACTGTGATACCACCACAGTTGATGTGGTAACTGAGATGGCTTCTAAGTGACCGAAAGGCAGGTAGTGTGTACAGCATGGATCTGCTGGACAAAGGAATGATTCATGTCCCGGGCAAGATGGAGCAGGACTGCGTGAGATTTCATCACGCTACTCAGAATGATGTGCAATTTAAAACACAAATTATTTATTTCTGGAATTTTCCATTTAATATTTTTGGACTGCAGTTGACCATGGGTAGCTGAAAAGTCAACAATTGAAATTGAGGATAAGGGGGAGCTACTGTATCCTCACATGGTGGAAGGGGCAAGGGTGCCCTCCAGGGCCTCTTTTGTAAGGGTGCTAGTCCTATTCATGAGGGCTCCATGCTCATGACCTAATCACCTCCCAAATGCCCCACCTCCTAATACCGTCACGTTTGGCATTAGGTTTCAACATATGAATTTCGGGGGGCGACAAACATTTAGCCTATAGCAGTTAGTACATGTATTTTAATCAAACTAGGGCAGTATGTGTCAATTCCCATTTTATTGACTTTTGAAAAAAAATCAGGAATGGGTATTGAATTTTGTTGAAGACTTTTTCATGATCTATGGAGACAATCATACGCTCTTCTCATTAGTCTATTAATATGATGAATTATATTAGTAGATTTTCTAATGTTGAGTCATCCTTGCATTCTTGGAATGAATTCCATTTGGTCCTAGTGTGCTATCGAGGTATTGTGTTGGTTTCTGTTTGCTGATATTTTATGTAGGATTTTTGCAGTGATATTAGTAAGATTGATGTTTGTAAGACTGGTCTTCGTTTTTGTGTGTTTGTATATCTGTATCAGGTTTAGGCATCATTTTAATACCTACTTCTGAAAAATAAAGAATTTGAGAATTTTTCGGTTTCTGTCCTCTGGAATAATTTATGTAGGGGCCTTGGTGTTTAAAGTTTGGTAGCAATCCCCTGTAAAATCATCTGGGTCCAGTACTTTTTTTGTGAGGATAATTCTTTGATAACTTTCTTTGCTTCTTCTATGGAGATTGGTCTGTGTAAGCTTTCTAAAACAATTTGGTACATTGTATTTTTTTATGTGAAATTATGTTTCACCCAGTTTCGAATATATTGCATAGAGTTGTACAGGATAGTCTTTCATGATTTGTCTTTAAGGACATTATGGTTTTAGAAGTGAAGAAATATGTGAGCAGTGTTCACTTACTGCAGTCAAGGATCCCAGGTCTTAAAGAGAAGTTTTAATAAGAGGAGCGTATGCTAATAATGATAAGTGCTACTATTTGTGAAATGCTTGCCTCTGTGTGTGTATCAGCTCATTTCATCCTCACTACAATATTGAGATACATAATCATCATCTTTTTAAGGATGAGATAATTTGGGGGAATTACCCACTCTCTCAAGGTCACACAGCTAGGAAGACTCAGAGCTGGGGTTTGAATGTGATTTGTGTGGCTGTAAAGGCTGGGCTGTTTGTAAGAAGCAGTAGATGATGAGGGCCAAGGGAGAGGCATAGACAGAAGAGAGTCCGGGAGGAGGGATCAGCGTGGATAGAATGATCAGGACATCTTCACCAAGGGGGTGGGATGTGATCTCCACTCTAGAGAACAGGCAGCATTTGGGTGGGGGGAGAGGCAGGGAGGTGGTCCTGGAGGGGTGCCTGGCAGTGGGAGGTAACCCTGGCTAAGGTGGACAGGAGCTACCAGAGGATCACACAATGAGAAGGTCAGGTGGAGGTTGGCGAGTTGGTGTGCCAGCTGGGGCTAGGTGGTCTGGATAGGAGAGGGGAGCGAGGGGCATTGGGGAAATTAGGAGAAGCAGACACTTCTTTTCAATTGAGACTGGATTATGGAAGTTGTTACCCAGATCTAGTTTCTGCACTCGGTTGGAATTTTGAAGGGAAGAGCTGTGTGGGAAGGATCTCAGATAAAAATATAAAATAAATAAGAAGACCACCAGCAACCGCCTTGGCTGTGTGAAGACGCTTGGCTGTAACTGAGAATGCAGGCAGTACTGGGTGTGTTGTATACATTATTAAAGGCTGAAGCCTGAAGGGGACATGGATGTGGCAACATGTGTACAGTCTGTCACCCATGACAAATTGAGTGACATAAATATGTGAACTGTTCCTTGCCTTTTCTGAAAAGGGAGCAGGAAGTTCTGGGGTAGTTAACTGGATTTTCCTAGAGCCAGTAGCAGTAGGCATTTTTTCTTGTTGTTTGTAGTATTTGTTCATAAAGAGTGGTTTAGTTTCCTGAGAAACTGCACGTGGATCCTAGGAATTCTGTCGTTGCTCCTATAGAAGTATGTGAGGATGATGACAGTTCTGTGCGAAACAGGGCACTGACTTGGCAGTCAGGTCGCCTGGCTCCTGGTTCTGGCTTTTTTATCAAACGCTGTGTGAACTCAGCATGTCACTTCCCTTCTCTGGGGCTCAGTTTCCTCACTTGTGGAATGAAGGCACTAAGTCCAGGGTCCCTTCTGGCTTTCAAATTCTATGATTTAGGCATTAAGGTGAATAAAATTCCTTTAAAGTGTTTTTTGGGATCTACAAACCATAATCCACTTCTTTAATTTTGTCGAAATAAGTTTCACTGTCAAACCTGAGCTAGAGATTTACTTTAAATCTTAGAGAGGTTGATTGTGTGGGAGGTGTGTTTGCTATGTTGAGTTGTCTGCTCTACTGTCTAGTCTTTACTCATTCTTTCCCGTTTTATTTAGGACTGCGGAAGTCACTAACCAAGTAAGAGAGAGCAGAGTCAAAGAAGGCTTTTGCTAGGGACAAGGGAGTTTTGCTTTTCAGATGCATAGAATATGTCCAGAAATGCCTCAGAGGCTTTCCCTATTGCCTTGGGAACAATAAATTCTGTGTCCAGATCTTTTGTGTGGTGTGGGCATTTGGGAAAGAAATAGTTTTCTGGAAGTTGGTGCTTTATTCTTGTGTCCTGATCCCCGTTTGTGTTCAGCGACTTTGGCTTTCCGTTCGGAGTGGGATAACAGATGTCAGGGTCGGGAAGTTGAACGAGGGAGGAGGGGCCTTGGTTCCCATGTAGATGTGTAGGGACACATCTACAGCCTGCTCAGCTTGCTGCTGTGGACCAGTCCCTTCACCTTTCTTAATCTTGTTTCTGCCATTGGTGATGTTCAAAGATAATGTGATTGTGAGGGTCAAACGAGATAGAATACATTAAAAGTATTTTATATACTAGAACATAACTAGTTGTTATTCTGAATGCAAAACGCTTTGGCCTGCATTCAGGGCATACAAATGGGAGAGGTGTGATAGTCTGTGCCCTGGGATAAGTCTCTCTGATTCTCTGAGACTCCAGTTTTCCGTCAGTAAATCAAGAGAGTTGGATGAATTACCTACAGCTGTTGTTCCAGTTGTAAGATTCTGGTTTTTACTATAAGAACTATTAATAAAATAATGATGCAAAGCACAATTTGAGCAGTGACCTTGAAGGATGTGGATAGCCTGTTCTGTGTCACGGGAGACAAGTAGAATGTAACCTAAGAGGAATTAACGTCTACCATGAGCAAACTTTTTTATTTATTTTATTTTATTTTTTGTGTGTGTGAGGAAGATCAGCCCTGAGCTAACAATCCTCCTCTTTTTGCTGAGGAAGACCGGCTCTGAGCTAACATCTATTGCCAATCCTCCTCCTTTTTTTTTTTTCCCCCCAAAGCCCCAGTAGATAGTTGTACGTCATAGTTGCACATCCTTCTAGTTGCTGTATGTGGGACGCGGCCTCAGCATGGCCGGAGAAGTGGTGCGTCGGTGCGCGCCCGGGATCCGAACCCGGGCCGCCAGTAGCGGAGCGCGTGCACTTAACCGCTAAGCCACGGGGCCGGCCCTACCATGAGCAAACTTGAGAGTCAAGGAGATGATATAAAAAGTAGAGACTTCTAGGGGCCGGCCCAGTGGCGCAAGTGGTTAAGTGCGCGCGCTCCGCTGCGGCGGCCCGGGGTTCGCCGGTTCGGATCCCAGGCACGCACTGACGCACCGCTTGTCAGGCCATGCTGTGACAGGTGTCCCATATAAACTGGAGGAAGATGGGCACGGATGTTAGCCCAGGGCCAGTCTTCCTCAGCAAAAAGAGGAGGATTGGCAGATGTTAGCACAGGCCTGATCTCCTCACACACACACACAAAAGTAGAGACTTTGAAATCAACCAGACCTGGTGTTGATTCACAGTCTGACCTTTTTTTTTTTTTAACCATCTGACCTTAGACAAGAACGTAACCCTTCTCAGTCTCAATTTCTCCATCTGTAAAATGGTTATAATAATGTCTGCCTTGAGAGTTATTGTGAAGATCAGTCATAATGTGTATAAAGCACCTGGCGCATTGCCTAGCACATGGTAAGCACTAGATGATGGCTGTAATTCTCTATTAAACTTCTGTAAGGAGTGACAGAGGCTGTGATAACGTTGTAGGGAAAATAAGGAAGCCTGTGTCATGAAGGAAGACATGGGCTGGAGGTGCTGGAGGAGGTCAAGTGTACATGCGAGTCTAACTTGACCCTGCAGAAGCAGCCCCCCCGATGGAAGGAGAGAGCGTGTGTCAGGCAGTGGAAAAGTTGGATCCCGGGTCAGTAAGTCTGGGTGTCGAATGGAGAAGGCCACTCAGTACGTCTGTGGAACCCTAAGCTGAATCCCTGGACTCCTGATTACTTTGCCCGCCCACAGAGAGCTGGCTGACAGTGGGGAGAAAGTGACAGCTCTGGGGGGGCTCAGGGGAAATCATGGGCTCCTCATGCTTTCTAGACATCCTGCGGGCTGGAGTTGTACGATGCCACTCCCTGCTTGGGTGTACATGTCTCATCAGAGCTTCATTTATATGGAAATCTTTAGAGCTCTTGTTGGTTACCACCCTTTGATCTTAAAGGAAATGTCATGTTCATATTCAGAGTTTTAAACCGAAAATTGGTTGCAAAGACTTCTTCCTTCCTTTCTTTGGTGTCCCGGTGGGCCTTTTGTATGTCGTGTCCAGTAGCTATGGGAGTTCATGCCCCTTCCTTCAACATGCGTCTGCTGAGTGGTTAATGTTGGACACTGCTGGGCACCAAAAGGAGCCCAGCGAAGTACGAGACGCAGTGCCTGCACACAAGGGCCTGGCTGTCCAGTGGGGAGCCGATGGTGCCATAGTAGTTATGATACTTTGTAGGACACTGGGTGTAGACCCTGGTGAAATTGATCTTCATCTTCCTCACTTTTTCTAGGACGAGTGTTCTTATTTTATTTGACCATGCTATTGCATTTAAAAAAAAATGGCCACAGCAACTCACCAGGCCAGGGTTATCTCAGAAGACAGTCTATGGAATGATTATCATGAAATGGCCAAACAGGGCCTTTGGAGTCAGATCTGTGTCTAGATTCTTACTGTTATGGTCTAGCTCTGTGGCTGTGAGCAAATTATTAACTGGAGAAGCTTAGCCACTTATTTGCTTGGTAACCTTAGGCTGCCTCTCTGTGCCTCAGTTTCCTCACCTGTAGAATGGTAGAATGTAGTATCGACCTCACAGGGTTGTTGGGAACACAAGCGAATTCATACATATAGAGGGGCTAGAACAGTGCCTGATCCTGGGGATTGCTACATAAGAGGCTTCTTCTTCTCCCAGTTTATGGGGACGATTGTCTCTTTGCAGCATTAGTGTGAGAGTTGAATGAAATATCATGTGTAGATGCCCAGCACCATACCTTTCACATAATAGATTCTCAGAAAATGTTAATTCTCTTACTTGCTAGGTCTTCATTCATTCACTCACCAAAAATGCTCATGTGCTTTCTTAGTGGATTGTATGCTAGGCTGTTATAAGGTGTTCAGAGATAAGCAAAGCAAAAAACCTGCTCTCAACCGGCTGCCTAGCTATTTTGAGAAAAGAACAAAAACAAACCTGAAGGTCACTGAGTATCCAGGTTATCAGTACAGCTGCTAAGAGAGGAATGAATTTTGGTAATTAAGGAGGACTTGAGTGAGGAGAAGCCAACTGGGGTGTTTAATTAGAGAAGGCTAGGAGAAAGGGGATGTGAGTTTGTTTTAAGTGTTTGGAGGGTAAATATATAAGGGTAAAATATGATTTGTTTAGTCGGTGAGGATCCTAAAAAGGAGGAATTTTTCTAACAATCACAACTCTCTGATTTGGGGGTGTTTTGCATTGAGGTGCAAAGAGCTTTGCTTTGAGGATCTTTTGGTTGTCATTTCAGCTGAAAAGAAAACCACACAGAGTAGCTTAATACGAAACAATGAAGTGAAAATTTGTTAGAGGGAGGCAGATATCTCGTGGAATGCAAGTGCAGCCCCGTTTCACAGGTAATTTTAAAAAGTCCGAGAAGTGCCTACCTGTCTGGCTCTTCCTGTCTCTCCCGTGGTCTCTGGCCTCGGAGCATGTATGCATGTGCTCCTGAGCGTGCTGACTTCATTCTCTTGTCCTCTGTGGATGGCTTCATCCTCTGGCACGTCCATGCTTAAACACGGCCACTCCACGGCTCCTGACTGGATGTGTCTTCAGTTCAAGAGATCCCAACTAAGAGAGTTCCTGGTCCCCAGGCAAACTCTGTAGGAAAGAGAATCTGATTGACCAGATTGGCCTCACCCAGATACGTAGTTGGAAACGAGAAGAATATTTCAATGCCTTTTCAGAAAATTGTGAATACTCTTCTTTGATACTACACCAAAACTCAACAAGTGATGGTAGTTTCTTAAAGATCAGTTGCATTGTGGAATCTGAGGCTGTTTCAAAGAATACTTCATTCTCTGTTACATTCAAATATTTCGGCTTATTTTGCACGTCAGAGGAATTTTCACCCATGTGTGATTTTGTGATGTCATGGTTCACTGAGTTGTGTAGATCTTCCAAATGTTGACATCCTGCATTATGCACTATCAGGAAATCATGTTGGTCATGCCATTCCCGATCTCATTAGAAGAGTCTCTCCTGAGAAGCTGTCATGCTCATAGTGGTGGATATGAGTATTTGAAATTCTTATTTTCACTTTGAAGCTCAAATGTTATCATTGGCAACAAATGCTGTCATTGTTGACCTTGACGTACTAAGCTCACTGTGTTTTTGAGAAAGTGTTGGTCAGATGCTCAGGTCTGAATAATTGTAGTTCATCTGTCTTCTTTGGTGCTGCATGAAATAGGTGGCTTAGTGTGACTCGCAACTCAGCCTCACACGTGCTTTATCTCGAGACAGCCATGCGCTTCAGTCTGCAGGAGAAGTGTCCACATGCACTTCCCGTTTCATCACGTAGTGTATTAAAAATGTGTGTCCTCTGGGGTTGAGATTCATTAAAAGCAATGATGTTTAGTACTTCATCAAAGACACTTTTAAGTGAAAGCAGCGTATATATATTTTTTTTTTTTTTTTTTTACTGCAAGTGTAGGTGAAGAATACAGTGACCACTAGTATAGTTTAGTGTCACTGCTTTGATTTGCAATGAGATGCCAGCAGTTTAACCACCTTCGCATTTGTACCACTAGTGCAGGAAAAGGCAGTAAGATCTTAATATTGTGAAAATAGTTTGATCTCACGGATTCCCTGAAAGGGTTTTGGAGTCCTTAGAGGTTCACGGCATGATTTAAAAACTGTGGACATCAGCCACGTAGTCTAGTCTTGTGGATGTCAGAGGAGAAGTCTGCGTAATCCTAGAAGGAAAAGACATGATAGGAAGTCGGCACCTGAGTCTCCTCAGCATCCAGGATCCTTTGTTATAACTGTAAAAACATTCTCACAGTCTTCCGGGGGATGGAGCCAGCCCAGCAGTAGCAGAGAGTTGCGTGATGAGTTTCTGAAACCACGTCCTAGTGGTTATTTGAAAACTATTTGGCATTTTAAACTCCCATCTCCTCCTTGACATTGAAATTTAATGTCATGCAACTGACACCAAATGATGATGTCAGGCTTTTGGGTCATGACTCCATCTGTTGGCAGCATGGCTTGGGAGCTTCTCCCCGCTGAATATTGTTGTCTCAAAGCAAAAGTGAAGGAGTAGCGCATTTGTCTAGAAGATGATGCGTGAACCTTTTAGTCGACCTGGTTTCAGCAAACTTGTTTTTCATGTTGGAATACTGTATTCAATCATCAAGCTAAAAATGAAATGCTGTGAGTAAAACTTATCATTCAGATTTTTACATACCCTTCCTCTCTCTCTTGTTTTCAGCAATGGAAGAGTTAATAGTTGAACTTCGTCTCTTTCTTGAACTCCTGGACCATGAATATCTAACATCAACTGTCAGGGAGAAAAAGGCAGTCATCACCGACATCCTGCTGAGGATACAGTCATCCAAAGGTGCGTCTCCTTCAAACTTCTGGTCTTTCTTCCTCCAGGCTCTTTTTGCCTCTAAACCGTCATTGATTGGTTAGATTGTCACCGTCTTTCTAAAACATATGCATTTGTTCATTAATTTGTGAATTTGTTTACTCATCAGGTTGTCATTGAGGGCCTTACTATGTATGTGCCAGGCACTGTGTTAGTCTATAGGTATAAAAAAAATAAAGCCTTTAAGGAGCTACTGGAGGAGTGAGTGTTTTGGGGGTCCCCGTGAGCACCCCAGCATTCAGAGATTCACTAGAAGAAGTGAGCATGTAGTTGTACTTTCTCCTGCCCAGGATTTATTACAATGGTAGTGAGGAGACACAGCCAGATAGTAAGGGAGAAAGACACAGGCAGAGCCTGGAGGAATCGGACTGCAGGCTTCCTTATGCACTCCCTCCCATGAGGGCCACATAAGCACACTCTTTCCTCAGCAACGAAAATGCAGCAACCTGCGTGCAACATTTCTGTTCAGGGAAGCTCATTAGAGACTGAGCGCCCAAGGATTTTACTGGGGGCTGGTCACATAGGCACCGTCTGCTTGGCAGGTACCAATATTCCAGGCTCCCATAAAAGCAAGTTTATTAGTCAGGGTTCTCCAGAGAAACAGAACCAATAGAATGGATGGATGGATGGATGGATGGATGATGGATGGATGGATGGATGGATGGATGGATGGATACATAGATAGATAGATACATAGATAGATAGATAGATAGATAGATACATAGATAGATAGATAGATAGATAGATACATAGATAGATAGATAGATAGATACATAGATAGATAGATAGATAGATAGATAGATAGATAGATAGATAGACAGACGGACAGACAGACAGAAGAGGAGACTTATTATAGGAATTGTGGTTGTGGAGGCTGAGAAGTTCCACCATCTGCCCTCTGCACACTGGAGACCCAGGAAAGCTGGTGGTTAGTTCATTGCAAGCCTGAAGGCCTGAGAATCAGGGGGCTGATGGTGTAGTCTCTGTCTGAGTCCCAGAGCCCGAGAACCGGGAGCCTTGATGTCTGAGGGCAGGAGAAGATGGATGTCTCAGCTCAAGCAGAGAGAGCAACTTTGCCTTTCCTCTGCTTTTTTGTTCTATTTGGGCCCTCAGTGGACTGGATGAGGCCACCTACACTGGGGAGGGCAGTGTATTTTACTGAGTCCACTGATTCAAATGCTAGTCTCCTCCAGAAACAGCCTCACAGGTACACCCAGAAATAGTGTGGTACTGGCTATGTGGCCCAGTCAAGTTGACATGTAAAATTATCCATCAGGTGTTTAGCCTAAACCATGCTGTTTGCACAGTCTAGACATAGTCAATCCATCTTATCAACTAGGGAATGGTGGGAACACTTCTGAAGTCCACGTTCCCAGATGCCAGCCAAGGGGCCAGTCTTGCAAACAGGCCCTTATAAGGACAGCAGCCTCAGGCTTGCTGTGTTAACTCTTGTGCACAGTGGGTAAGACAGAAAAGCAGGTAATAGTAAGCCTGGTAAGTAGTGTTGTAGAGAGCATCAGAGTATTAGGAGAGCACATGAGAGAAGAATCCAAACCAGTTTAGAGAGAAAGAGACTGAGGGAGGGGCTGGGGGCAGTTCTGGGAGGATACAATGTTAGAGTCTTGAAGGCTCATAGGAGATAGCTGGATGAGATGTGGGGATTTTTTTTTAACAGCTTTATTGAGATATAATTCACATACCATGCACCTCATCCATATGAATTGTGTACTTTGTTGGTTTTTAGTGTATGAAGCCATGGTATGACACAGTTAGATTTGCATTCTGGAAAGCTCACCTTGTCAGTCTGAACAATGGGTTGAAGTGTTTGGTAGCAGATTGAACATGAGCCCTGTGAGGCCCCGGGACCAGTCACTGAGATAGGAGCACAGGATGAGGTCTGCATTTTGGGGGCAAATATGAAATATTCACTTTTGAAGTGATGTTGTTGCTTCCCTGCCTGGACTCTTTCATTAGTCTACCATTGCCCATGGATCACATGTGGTCATGCGTGTCTGCCCCAGAGTCAGACTGGCTTGGGTTCCTGGCTCTGCCCATTACCGAGCATGTGACCTTGCACATGTTACTTAATCTCTTTATGCTTCCGTTTCTTCATCTGTGAAAAGGGCCAGTAGTAGCATTTACCTCAGAGGGATGTTGTGAGGATTGAATGAGATAATATAAAATATTTCTGAATAGTCCCTGACACACAGTAGACACCCAGTAACTACTGACTATTATGTTCTACTGTTGCTTTTATTAGTAGAGGTAGCATTTCTTTTCAACCCCATCTCCTCTGCTTGTGCCCTTCTCTCAGCCATTCCAGACCACCTGTCTGAACACACCACACTGTTGGGCCTCTTGCCTCAGGAGTTGCTGTTTGCTTTTCCCCTATTTCCCTTCCTCTCTTCCTCTGCCCAATGAATTCCAACCCTTTGTCTCCCCATGCTTCGTTCTGAATGTATCTTCTGATATTTTCCAATTCACTAATTCTCTCTTCAACTCTTTAATTTGCTTAAAACCCATCGACTGATATTTTTTTAGTGGTAGAGTTTCCATTTGTTCTTTTTCTTTCTTTCTTTGTTTTCATTTTTTATTTTTTCCAGTTCTCCGCCAAAATTCTGATCTCTGTTGCAGCTTATCGAGGTCAGGGGCTTTGTTCACATCTCTTTTCTTAGCCTGTGGCATCATGCTTGACCCATTACAAGTGATCACTGTTGAGCGATTGTTTTTCTAGGTCTTTCCAGGTGAGCTCTTGGCATATAAATAGTACTGTGCCCAAATTGAAACTAGTTTCTTCCTCTTTCCTGCCTTCACTGGTATAGTGCTCACCATGTTTTCTAAGGGTCAGTTGTATGTCCACTTGTCTTCTCGAGTTGAGTGCGCTGAGGGTATGAGCTTCTAATAGTCATGTCATCCATAAAGTATGTCTCTCACAGTATCTGACTTTAAGAGGGTACTTAATACAGATTTACTGATTCCCAGGAAAGCATCTGTCCCCTTAGTACATGGGTAAGTACTAACCTGAGTAGACGTTCAGATGAAGCAACTTGCCTTTGAGATGCTGTGTGGCAGTGGGAAGAATGTGGGCATTGGTGCCAGCTCTGTCATTTCTACCTGTTAATGTTTTGATTAGTTCTTTAACCTGTTTTTTAGCCATAGGTTTTTCACTTGTAAAATAGAGAAGGATAATACCTACCTTGTAAGATTATTGCAAAAGATTAGAGAAAATAAATATTTGCAAAGTGTTCAGTATAGGGCTGAGAAAATGATAGCTGTGAACAGTGCCATCTTCATCCTCCTCCTCCTCCTCATCCAGTTCTGTGGTTTTGGTTGATACTTACAGGTTTTGAAGTGAAAGATCATGCTCAGAAGCAAGAGACCCCCAACAGCCTGCCGGCCCCTCCCCAGATGCCTCTGCCAGAGATCCCGCAGCCGTGGCTGGTGAGTTCAAGTTCCACCATCGCAAATCGCTGTGCGCCTGGGTTACTTATGGTTCCGGGGCAGGTGCTAAAAGCCCAGTTCTGGAAGAAAGGAGACCTCATTTTGCTCAAGGCACTCTTTTGAGTGTGTTTTTTAGGGCTGCTAGTAATAGCTAAGTGGGAGGCTGTAAATGTAGTCTTCCCTTAGGAGGCTGGTGTTTCTTTGAAAATTGCTGGAGCCACAGGTCCATGGAAATCTGTTCTTAAGTCAGATTTTTTAAAAAATCAGAGGATTTAGCAGGCAAAACAATGACTTAGAGCCTGGGGACTTGACCCTCTTTCTGGGTTAACTCTGAATTTGAATACCTTAGTCTGAAACTTTCATCTTCATTGTTATGCTTCTTCTGGGATAACAAACTAATTTTTATTCCAGAACAAAAATGTGTACATATTCCAGGAATGTGTATTTTGTTTGATTTTATACATTCAAAATTTATTTTGGAGTTCTTTTTCTATTTTTGCAGTCTGGAGATACTCACATATGCAATTTTCATCTATCGTTCAGCTTTTTCTGCCTTTTGCTGTTTTCTGATTTGCTTACTCAGGGAAATTAGACTTTCATTCAGAATTAGAGCAAAATCAGTTACTTAGCAGTTCTCTTTCTAATGTTCACTTTCTGTATGAATCCTCTGATTCTCTCTCCACCAGGGTAAGAACTGCAGAAAGGCAGGGCATGTCTCATTAATTTCTGTCCTGCCTGGGCCCCAGCATAGTGGCTGATGTGTGGTAGATACTCAATAATCATCATTTTAGAGGGGACAGAGGAAATGAGCACTTACTGGGTTCCTACCATGTATCACAGATCATGCTTTTTTTTTCACCCATAATTTCTTTCATTCCTCACAAATCGACCTCAAAGAACCCCTAAAATATCTCTAAATATGTGAATAGTATGTATACCCATTTTCCAGAAAAGTAAATTTAGGTTCAGTGAATATATGTGATTAACTCAAGATCATAGAATAAGTAGGACAGGTAAAATTGTAACGTATTCTTTTGATTTCAAATCCGGTCTTTTCTCAACAATACTGTTTTGGGAGTTGTGGCAGCAAAGCCCACGCGAGCATGACTGGTAGACTGGAGAAGATCGTGTTAGGAACTGTAAGCCTGCTCCTGAGCCGGAATCTGGGAGGCGGCAGGATACAGAGGGCAGACTCTGGAGCATGGCTGCCTGCTCCCAAGTCCCAGCTCGGCCACTTACCTGTGCTTGCAGACTGTCACTTCAACCTCTCTGTGCCTCATTTCGTAAAAGAGTATGGTGCTAGTACCCATTTAATAGGATTATTGTGAAGCTGAAAAGAGTTGATATATCTCAAGTGCTTAGAATATATGCCTTGCAAATATGAAGCCTGATGCAAGAGCTAGCTGTTACTGGATAGAGCAGCACTTCTCAGACTTTCATGTCCAAATGAATCCCCTGGGGATCTTGTTCCGATGAACGTTCTGATCCACTAGGTCTGTAGGAGCCTTAGATGCTGCCTTTTTAACAAGATCACTGTAGAAAATAAGGGAGAAAACCCTAAAAGTAAGTAAAGTCATCTATATTCCCTTCTTCCCAGGAGAGCCACTGTTCTTATTTAGGCCGTTTTCTTCTAGTCTTTCTCTACCTGCACGTCCAGTGCAGGGGCTACTAGCCTCAAATGGCTGTTGAGCACTTGCAGGGTGGCTAGTTCAAACTGAGATGTGCTCTAAGTGTCACATACACACTGGATTTGGAGGCTTATAAGAAAAAGGTTGTAAAATATCTTCTTAATAATTTTTACATTGATAACATGTTGAATTATATTATTTTGGATATACTGAATTGAAGATATATTAATGAAATCAGTTTCATCAATTTCTGTAGCTACTAGGAAAATTTAAATTACATATGTGGCTCATATTTGTAGCTTGCATTATTTTCCTGTTGTTTTATACATTTAATCTTTCCACAGTTGAGAGCATATTGAATATATGATTTTTATATGCTGTTTATTTTTTTAACATATTATGTATTGTTCCTTCTTTATAAAGTTCTTTTTAATTATTGTTTTCCTTTTTTTAAACTCATTTGTTTGAGTCACAGAAACTGTGACTAGATTAGCTTTTTATTTTTTTATTGTCTCATTTGCTGTTTTTAGATATAATGCAAAATTATAGTCCAGAAGTATATATGAACAATATTAATCCTATTTACTGATATGTTGTTTATCTAAAAGATAAAGAACTAGATGAGAAATCAGTACTTCATTAGTTTCCTGGTTTTTATCTTCTGGTTTCTTTTTCTTTTTCTTTCTGAGCTTGTCTGAACCTATGGCTGTCCTATCATATCTCTCGATATACTGTGTCTTATATTTCATCATCACATTTCAGATCAGGAAAGGTGTTTTGAGATTGAAGATGAAATGCAAACATCTAGAAGCAGCCAGAAGAGTGGTGATGGTTGTATGAATTTCATGGACTCTTCTCTAGTGCTCCATGAAGTGCCATCCAACTGGTCTGGACTAAACTACATGTCCCGGATATGCCACGCTAGATGGAGTGAATATCAATTTCAATGCCAATATCAGACAACGAATACTCATTGAATGGTCAAAATTGTCTACCATTTTTGACTGTTGAATAATCAGTCCGTTTCTATGGATTTTTCCTCAAATGCAATTTGTTATTCATTCACTCATGCATCCTCTTTTTATTTATTTATTTATTTATTTATTTTTTCCCCCCAAAGCCCCAGTAGACAGTTGTATGTCATAGCTGCATGTCCTTCTAGTTGCTGTATGTGGGACGTGGCCTCAGCATGGCCGGAGAAGCGGTGCGTCGGTGCGCGCCCGGGATCAGAACCCGGGCCGCCAGCAGCGGAGTGCACACACTTAACTGCCAAGCCACGGGCCGGCCCTGTGCATCCTCTTTTTGTCTCTCTCTTTTCTCTTTGTCTCTCACTCTCCCTGACTTACGTTCTGCCCCTGCCTTTGGCTGCATCATGGCAAACTGCTCAGGTTTAAGGTATGAGAAGCCCTCCTACTGATGGAATCAGAACTGGTGGTTGGTTAATCAAAAATGTTGGTTGAAGTGAAAAATTCTAAAAAAGATATACATATGCTTTAAATACTTTAGACAAATAATTTTTGAGTAGGAGTTTCCCAAGGTGTCATTTCTCCCTGCTGGTGCCTAGTCCATGGGTGTCAAGAGAGTTTTCCCTCAACATCCAAGCCATGCTGTTAGCTGCTATAAAACTACTGAGATTTTGATGTAGGGCCAAGGGCTACATTCTTTGAGTATGGGGCTGCACATTGCCTTCTGCTTGTCCTTCTCCATAATCTGTGCCCGTGGTAGAGCGTTAATAATTTCCAGTTTTTGTTTCCTTAAAGTGTAGTAAAGTTTAGACACTTGTGAAACAATAAACAGTCTGAGTTTAGAGTACCTGGAATTTTATGAGTGCTGTGCTATTCTTTCATAGTTGACTGGTCCACCCTTAATTGAATAGCTTTTTTAATTCTTTTTTTTTCCATTTTGACTTGACTGAACCCTTCTAAAGAATCTAAGAGAATCCTCAATTCTCCTTTTGCACTCATTTTTTCATTGGTTTATTTACATAATAGTTAATCAAATTAATTATGGTAAGTATAGTAATAAGTATAAGAATTTAAAGGACAAAGCTGATTCTTAGTAAATGTACAACTCAGCTGATAGGTCTATTTATCGGCACTCTGGAGAGGAGCCTGTTGACCATGAATGTTTTATGGACATCCGTCAGGGGATTTTACAGAGGGAATGAAGAACATCTGTCAACTCAGCAAGTCAATGAAGTGGAGATTGGTTAAGATAGCTCTACTCTATTTTTCTGACTTTTTCAGTGAATTCGTTATTCAGCAAGTAAGCCAGTCATTCAGTAAATTGTCTACCTTTGGTGAATTGGTTTTTGGCCAGTTGGTCATTTGCTCTGGGCACATTGACTTTCAGGAGAGTTAGCTTATCGTGGGGTAAAGATGAAATGGGTAGGAAGCTGCACCAGGCAGAGGATGTGTCACGAATTAAGGCACAAGCCAGAGAGAGACCCACATGGACTTGAGCGTTGTGAGCCTGTCTGTGTAGCTGGATAATACGATTTGGGTGGGTAATCTGCAGATGAGGCTGGAACACTCCACAGGGGTTACATCGTGACGGGCCTGTGGGCCATGCAGAGCAGTTTGGAATTATCATCAAAGCAACTGTAAATGACTGAAGGATTTTTTTTAGTGTAAAATTTATGATTCTCCAACCAGGTATTATTTCTCATTCATATAAACCACTATTGCATTTTTACCTCTTGTGGCATGTATTGAATGAATACTGCCTTTTATCAGAGCTATTTGTGTTATAAACTCTATGTAATGAGCAATCTTTTACGTTTCTATCCCTTTAGTGCCTAACAGTACTTTATACAGTTGTTATTAACTATCTCTTGACATCATTTTTTCCCAGCAGATCTCTAAAATTTACTCATCTTGCATAACTGAAACTTTATACCCATTGAACAGGAACATCTCATTTTGACATGCTTTTAAAAATTGAACTAAATTTTAACCTTTGGAAGATGGTGTTTGTTTCTATACTTTGTGTTTCTCATGTTGCGTAGTAGGAAGTGCCTATGAAGGCTCAAGGTCAGGGAGCATGTCAAAAAGTTGAAATTGTAACGTTGGTGATGCTTCAGTACGTGAAGGGAATATCTGAGTGTTTCTGTTTAGTCTTCGGGGTGAATGTGGCAGCTTCCTACGGTGCCCTGTGTGAACTGGTGGTCCCGTCAGCATGGCTGATGGTGCTTTCGAAGGACTCAAAGGAGTGTGGGTGTGTGCACTGTGTGGAAATTCAGAACTTCTCATACATGTCCGAGATCACAAGTGTGTTATACAGCATGTTTAGCAATCCCATTTAGCTTTTCAGGGGAGACCAGAGTGGGCCAAAACGTGTGTGTATAATAAAAACATTTCTGGGAAGAACTGC